ACAACAAGGCAGCCCCAGAGGCCTAACCATGTGGTGTCCTTGAGCAGGTGTCTCCAGGCTACACCCAGTTCCGGATAGGCCAGAGCAGGCTCAGTCTCATCCCATTCCAGAACTGCCATATGCTCTGGGGGCTCTGTGGCTATCCACAGCCACTGTGGACAGAGCTGGTGTTTTCAGAGGCAGGGATACATCAAGTCATCTGGGAGACATCTCAAATCTAAGGAAGAAAAAAAATTAGCCTGGCAAATGTAACTTCCTCAGTTCCTGAAACAGAAAATTCTAGTTACTTTGTAAGCTGGCAAAGACCAGATATCTTGCCAAACAACTAGAATCGAAAGTGTGGTGTGAGAACCTGATTATCCAATCCTTCACACATTAGTGATCTGAGCTTTTTAAGATACATGTCATTTTCCTTAGTGAAATCTGGAACAGTATATCACCTAGATATTATCAACAACAAACATCTTTAAGTCTCTAAAAATGCAACATTAAAAGATTCTTCTGCTCTATCTAATTCTAGTCAGGAATGTCCATCACCAGGCCCTTCTGCAGTCCATCAAAATGCCCTCGTAGTCTTCATGGGGTCATCTGTATGAGTCATGAGGACAGTAACATTTCATTGAAATTCAAGAAGCAAAGAAGGGATTAACTACAAATTAGAAATCAACAGAACTTCCTCAAAAAATTTAGAATGTCCTGGGAACCAGCAGTTAGCGAAATGGCTATGTCGCTGGACTCCCACGTAGTCGACCACGGTTCACGTCCCAGACCCGGCAGCTTAAAACTCACGCCGGGTGCGTGTGCGTGCATGCCCAAGATCCCAAGAGGAGAATGGAGGAGAAGGGACTGTGGCGTGACCATCCCCCCTGGGAGGTGATTTCTCGCTTTCTGTCTCTATGTCTCTGTCTGTCTGTCTCTCTGGCGAGCGCACACACCCTATAGCGAAAATCTCTCAAAAAAAAATTTAGAATGTTCTCAGTGTTTTTTCTTATGGGGTATACCTCATAATGCTGTTGTTTTCAAGTATCAAATGTTAAGCTGCATGGGAACCAGCTGTTAGCGTAATGGCTATGAAATGCAGACCAAAACAGTGCAATACAGATTTGAACACCTCATCTAACAAACTGACATACTGATATATATATACACACACACACATATGTATGTTTATATGTGTATATACATGAACACATATATATATACATACATGTACACACACACACACACACACATATATATATACACACATATATATATATATGAGAGAGAGA